AGTAGAACAGGATCGTTCTGATAGAAAAAGTCTATCCATTTTTGGAGTTCTGCAACTGAATGGTCTTCAATCAATAAATTGTCTTTCAATAGGGCACCTGGAACATCCTTTGGTAATAATAATGGTATGGAAAAAAAATCATACAACACCTTCAGAATACACTATCAAAACGTAACTACTCTGCAAAAACAAACTGAACACTGAAATGCTATGTTTGTGACAACTGAACAACCTAAAAAGTAAAATTCCCTAGGATTTTTTAATTTTGTTCATATCAACTTTAATACTTCGATTCATAGATCCGGCAATATCTAGGAATCTATAAAGTTACAAATTCTATCTGTTCCGACTTTGAATTATTCCAAAAAAGGCCTAGAAAATGTCAGTCGATTTAGACCCGAAAATTTTATAGTGGCAACAATGAATAGGGGTACTGGAATCGTCCATTGGGTTCAATTTGATCAAAACCGCAACACGTGTTTCGCTAAACATATAATGGCTTCTTCAGGCGTGTTTATACTGATTGAGTTTTACTCAATGTAACAATTTGGAACATGATCTTCTACTTAATGACTAAATAATTTAACCAGACTTAAAGTATAAACTAATTGAAAACTTAAACATTATGTCATATACCAATTCCTTAAATGGACATGTAATAAAATAAATATCAATTTCCACATTAGAAAACAGATTCAACAGAGGGGAAGAATTCAATTCTATTTGGTCATCCAGCATATTTTCTGAATTCTCAGATCTATTATTTCCAAGCAAGCCACAACAAACAATACTACGGAAGCGTAGAAGGGCCAAAGATTATTTGTTTATTTGATCCACCATATTTTCGACATAAAAGTCGAAATTTCGACTTTTATCTCGTAATTTCGACTTTTATCTCGTAATTTCGACTTTTATCTCGTAATTTCGACTTTCATCTCGTAATTTCGACTTTTATCTCGAAATTTGGACATTCTTTTCAAATCATTTCGACAGTGCTCCAATCTTCTCATAGTGGCATGTTTTTTACGAAGAAATATGACAGAAACCGATTTTATTGAATATTCGAAGCCTACTCATTTTCTGATTGAACCTTCGGGAACCATTCTGCTCCAGTTAATTTTTTTGCATCATTAGATCTCTACGATTTTTCGGAACGAGGAGAGAAAACCCAAAATACCTAAGAAATGAACATTTTATCTCTTCGAAGAACATACCGACAGTATTATTTGGTTGCCATTGCAAACTGTGTTTCTACATGACGTTTAAGATATGCATGTGTAGAGTATTCTTTCGAAATGTTAATAAATTTCTACTAGAAATTTCTTCAGTTGTAGTGAAAAACTGAATTTGAGATAAGTTTTGATAATGAAGTAAGGATATTACTGATCAGATTGATTTACTATGATGAGAAACTAATATTTTGACCAAAGTCGACTTTCTCCTACTCGTGCGGAAAGCATTTACTTTTTCAAAAAGGTACTGAATAATATCAATGCATAATTATCAATCTAAAATTTATTGAAATAACATAATTAATTCACTTCTCAGGTTAATGTATAAATTAATTGTGGCATAAGGATCTAGGGACCTTGTGTAATTATTTTTTTCATAAAAATTAAACATAATTTCCAAAAATCTTCATCACAGGTGATGAGGTGATCTGTAACTCCATAAAGGGAAGGCATCGCATACAATATGCTTGTTCTTCCTGCTGGAGCGATAGCATTTCTTGTTTTCCGTATTCTATGAATATTCCATTCAAAACATACTTGATCAAGATCACTCTGAAATAAAAATTATAATTAAAAATTCATTTACAACAACTCATATCTTACTTGTACTAATGGTATGAAACAAAATTGAACTAGAGACTTGTCCGAAAATGATGCATCAAATAAATTGTCTTCTATTAGGGTTTGAAATAAAATCATCCAGTATTGTGCATTATGTTTACGTAATATAGACAACCAAGATTTTATCCTTTGATTGTGCATGCTTTTTCCATATAAAAAACATGGTCGATTTGTTGATTCAGTAAATACTTCATGAAAGGCTTTTTGTATCCTCTCCATTACTTCATTTTCAGTGCCCATATCGGGTCGTAAAGTTCTGGGACATCCTCCTTTTAAGAAATATCCTCCAATTACCTTCAAAATTACAAATTTTTTCAAGTGTGAAGATGAGAAATAATAAATAGTGTGGTAAAAGTTAATGAAATATTATTGACACGAGCATCTTCAAAAATGTATATTCAACTGAAATATTTGTTCTTGTTTCAACATCAGTTCGAAATGATTATTATTGAAAGTATTGATTGATTAAGAGTTAATGATTTTCTCCAACCTTAGGGTCGCTTGAGGTTTATCCCACTTCCAACCACATATTTCCATTGAAATTTCAATCACACCTCGTAGTAAATTATAATGCACTCAAGGAACCATATTTCTACTTTTGAGTCAAAATTATGACTTTCAAGTCGAAATTACGAGATGAAAGTCGAATTAACAAGATAAAAGTCGAAATTACGAGATAAAAGTCGAAATTACGAAATAAAAGTCGAAATTACGAAATAAAAGTCGAAATTACGAGATAAGTCAAAATTATGGTGGATCAAATAAACAAATAATCTTTGGCCCTTCTACGCTTCCGTACAATATAGCATTACAACACAAATAATAATTTAAGCAAATTTAGTAACAATAATACAGACAAAACTTCAGTGTCGGGTAGATCAGGAGTATATAGTTAACTTAAGGTTCTTGATCGAAACTTTATATTGTTCAAACGGGAAGAACCATTTCACAAAAAACGCATATAAACAAAGGTCCGGAACTGCTTCCAAGATATAGGGCGTTATACTTTCCTAATTAAGAATATTATGTATTAATATTGCAAATATTCTTTATCTGATTTTGGTGACATTTGGTAATGTTATTTTCAGTTATAAGATAATAATTTAGCCTTAATTGAATACAAATTATTTGGTCAAGTGAGCGGCTCGGCACAGTTTAGCCAACATTATAGTTAAAAAAATGTACGCCACTCATGTTTCTTGTATCATTTAATTTGTGTATCTCTTGATTTGTTTTTAGACCTCTCTATGCTTTCGAGGATAATGATAAAAACCACTTTATTGCATATTCTTTGATTATACAATTGATATTCTCATATATAGCTTTGTTGATGAGTCATGAAATGAACAATTTTGAATTGGCTACAAAAACTATTGGAAATTACCACTCGCCGCAAATGTTGAAAAAATGCATTCTCGGACTTATGTTCATGTGAACTCTTTTCATAATATTAGCTTCTGAACACGCCCGCACATTTTTTCACCCTAATTGGAAAACGTCGTGCTAGAAGTAACTAGGAATTTCCAACTTTGAACTCAGAATTTAGGCGTTTTTTTCATTTTAAGCCAACCTAAACGCTCAATATTAACATTATTCCAAGTTCAATGTTGAAAAACATCCAAAATGAATAATCAGTTGTATATTGAAGTATCGGAAAAACATTTAAAACAAAAATGAGTTTGAATTGAAGGGGTTATATTTTTTTTAGGAGTGATTAATTTTTTGGGAAAGAAAGTTTTTGGCTTTCTACTACTCCATCTGATACAAAAAAAAAGGGGATGAGAGAATCTTCCAAAGAAAGGAAGGAAGTAATCAATTTGAAACTCTATACATGAATGTGTAGATCATGCAAAGAAGTACCTTTCAGATACAAACTGAAAGAAAGTCCTCCTGAAACAGCTACTTTCATATAAACATTGAATTACACGAAAGAAAATAATTCTTTCGAAACAAATACTGTCGCGAGACAGTTGCATCTTTACTACCCTCCAAACTTCTGATTGAAAATGAAAATGAGTAGTGGCAGACAAAGATGCATAGAAATCCTGATGTTTGAAAATACCCAAAATATTGTTTCGTTGTTCTTATTTATCAGTAACAAAGAACTGTCAGTAAGCTTATCAGCCAAAGTTGGACAACCTTACGTCTCTAGACACAGATAGACGTGTCAAATTTGAATTTACAGCACATGACATATGCACGCAAATTCGTCCCAAGACCCTATTCAGGCAATGACCGTAGTTGCCGGTATCGAATAAAAATTCTAACTTTATGGAAAAATAATCAAGTAACTTTACAATAATTTAAAGAAAAAAAAATAGGTTTGATGGACTGCCATCCATCCTTCCCCTATATTATTTTTAAAGAGTATAAATGGAAAATTTATATTCATTATATATTTTAGATGAAGGAATACTACGAAGAGAAGTTATAAATTCAGATTAATTCGTGAACTACACGGTACTTAGCAACTACTGTGCTGGTATCGTGCAAAAAGAATCTTCAATCCATTTTGAAAACGAAATGTTATAGTTTTGATTGTGTTTACCAGAAAGTAGACAGTTATAAAAATATGATTAGGCAACGTTGACAAAAAGTTATTTATTTATCTGACACATGACACAACACACCTATCAGCGATTAGCGGATTAGCGCTACTTTAGATTTTAGTTTTATGTGATTGATATGTACTGTTAAGAAATATTTGATACCATTTTTTATTTTTAATTTGCTCTCCAAAGGACTCAAGATGCGCTATTACTTAACTTACACAGCCTCAATATTGTTTTCTTCGGTTACTACAATATTTAGTAAGTTAAGAAGATTTCATAGTTAACTTATGTGCTTTCTGCAATCATGTGACTTGTTTATAATTTCCAATTTTTGTTTAAGTTCTTTATTATCTACTGACTGGCAAAGGGGAGCAAATCAGTCCAGCATGGTGAGTATAGAACAATTTGGTAGTCATTTTTAAAATTTTTATGTGTACCTCAGGAGATGAAACTGTGGGAAAAAAAGTGTACCTTAGGGAGGGGTACCATTTATTTTCAAGAATATCTTCCCATCGCAATTGGAGATAGTTTATATGTCAATGGTTCCTAGATTTTTCTTCTGAAATCTCACCCAATTCTAGGTCATAAGTCGCAAGTCGTAAGAAATTGGAAACAGTTGGATCCTCAAATTTCAGTGTAACATTCATGCACCAGCCTAGATATTGTCTTATAGGCACTTACTCTAATGTACCAGTTGTAAGTTTTTCAGTAGCAACGACTCAAAACTTTTACACACAAGATGAGAGCTCAACATTGGCATAAAATCTCTAGAATCTCCCAAGAATCGACTTTAATACTATACAAGTAGAATATGAGTATTCTCTAGTGACAACTACATGAATTTGAACTCTTCTCATTTGCTGTAACAGTTTTATCAAATGAGTTTCATGCAAAAGTTTCAAATTACAAGTGACAAGGTTTATGTTGGTAGAATTCATGTTCTATAACATTTGTTATGACTCGAAACACGCATAGACGAATGTCCCCGTTGAAATTCAATGATTCAACATTTTATGACTTTTAAGGGTTATTTACTATTTGATTGGTGTATGAATCAACCTTTAATAATTTGATTCAGTTATTATTCTCTTGAATAACACTATTACTGATCTTTACTTTTTTCTTCACACATTGTTTTATTCTCACTAGGTTTCTACTCGGTGTTTCTCCATATATGTGGTCATCCTTTGGAATTGGTTTAGCTGTATCCCTATCTGTGCTTGGAGCTGCAATGTAAGTTTTTATACATTTTCAAAGCATTATGAACATAGAAAAGACCATTATGCGTAGATCATGCACAGAAGTTTCTTTTTGATGCAAACTGGAAGAAAAAAGTCAATCAAAAATCACTTCTTTCAAATGTATAAACATTGAATTTCATGGAAATCACTCATTCAGTTTGTAATCCATAATTCAAATGATACAGATATCGTACATATATAATGTTTTATGTATTTATTTAACCTCAATTTCAGAGGTATTCACACTACAGGAGTCAGCATAGTTGGCGCTGGTGTGAAAGCTCCAAGAATTAAAACTAAAAATTTGGTTTCAATCATTTTCTGTGAAGCAGTTGCCATTTATGGCTTGATCATGGCTATTGTCCTCTCCAGTAATTTCAAGGTATACACTTCATCATATTTATTCCCTTGAATTATTTTTTTGATGAATTTACAGGAATTTGATGGTGCCCTGTTTGTCAAAGACGAGTCAGTCTTCTCATCTAACCATTACGGATCGCACGTAATTTTTGGATCCGGTTTGACAGTTGGTTTCGTAAATCTATTCTGTGGAATTTGCGTTGGCATTGTTGGATCTGGTGCAGCAATTGCAGACGCCGCTAACGCTTCCCTATTTGTTCGAATCCTCATCATCGAAATTTTCGGAAGTGCTATTGGCTTGTTCGGGCTGATTGTGGGAGTTTTTCTGGTGAGTTTATTGATTTCTCAGGGTACTGGAACTTTATTACAATCATCTGTTTTTTTTTTCAGTCCTCCAAGGCAAGTGGATAGATATCCTCAGTGAATATGTATCATAATATGTAGTCTTTGTATATACTTATATCAGTCGGTCTAAGAAACAATAACTTTTAAGGTTTACATATGTTTGAAATTCAAAGTTTGGAATATATTGATAGTTAAAAATTCTGATTCTCATTTGTGTAATTTGTATTTCACCGATGGTTCCACAGTACTACCTCGAATTTTGTTCAGGGTTTACTTTGTTTGTGTATTGATATGTTATTTTTCCTTTTAGACCAATTTTCTCATGGTATGTATTGCGCTGAATGGGAATATTATTATGAAAAGATCATATATCCAATCAATTCTAGACATTTCAACACATTCACACAAATTATTCAAATAAATTACCGATAACAAAGTTTGTTCAAAATTTTGTTTCAAATTATTCGAACTGTAGGTGTTTACACTGGAAAATCGTTCTGCTGAACTCACCATACACTGGTAAAATGTGTGACTATAGATATACACAACAAAAGTAATATTGTTAAGTTTCTGTTCAGAAATTTATCTAAATAAAACTTGTTACATTTTCATGGAAATATTCATTGAACATTTTTGTAACAAATCAAACATAATTTCAGTAAGTCATCTTTTACAAGTTTAGGGACAAAATGGAAACTAGAATTGAGACAACAAAAATAGTATTGTTATTATCATATTTTCATTCGCACAATAATAATAAATGAAAGTAATATGAAGTACAGGCACCGCTCTTAGAGTGCTTGTGTTTTGTCCTTAAAAAAAATTAAAAAAATATCTCGAACACAAACAGTACATTACAACTGAATCAAGTGATCGATTTTTGCCTTGAGCTTTCACTTGAATGTAGATTCATGCACCAGTATTACACCATAAATTTCAGGTTTTATATAGTTGAAACTAATATTTACCAACATTTGCCTTGTGGTGCATGATAACAATGGAAAATCCAGCTTGTTATAACTTGGTACCTTCAGTGGTATATGAATTCAAATTGACATATAATACAGTGTTATTTTGGACATTGTTCATTATGTTACTATTTCAGTAAAAAGGGATAGTTATTTCTGGTCTTCTTTTTGGAATACTTTACATATATTCTCCGTTTTACTTATTTGTATTATTTTCGATAACTCGACTACCAGGAAGAGGATAGTAATCACAACAAGGCATTCCCGAGTGATGTCTTTGACTTTGGGATCTTCAACTCTTAGTTGTCTCACTGGTGACATGACGAAGGATCTGGCCTATGATTTGATGACTTCAACCTGCCTTAAACAGTCCAAATACTGGGTAGAGAGGACTGGATCCTCCAAGAAGAGAATTGGAGTAGATAGCAGATGGATCAAAAACACCTTCAGGTTCTGGTCTAGATTTATGCACAGATATTACTAGCGATTGGATGAAAAAGAGGCTGGACTCCACTTTTAGGACACAAAGAGATCAACTCCAGGAAAAAAAAATTTATTTCAAAGGTAAATATTCGGAATGATGCCGACAGAGGATTTTGAACAAATTTTACTTGTACTTATGTAAAATGATGAGCAGGACACTATTCTGAAGTCAAAACAATGCATTTTGCCTATATTGAGGAATTATGGCCCTTCAAAGATATATTCCACCTTCTTTTTTGCACCAAAAAACGATCTGAATACACATTATTTCATTCGGCTCGTCACCTTCACACATTGTTCCACTTTGATTTATACATTTTTCGCACAAATTAATATTTTTCCAATATATTTTTTGTCAGAGCGGTTTTCTGGTAATTGCGATTGACAAATTTTAGTTAAAAGTTTACGTTGGTACGACGGCTTGGCTCAAATATCACACATTCAAATGGGATTTAAATTAATTCAAGGAACCTTTTTCCTGAAGTACGAAAAATCACTCACTAGCAGCGCTAGTAGTTCGGTAGGGACAAACTGCCTAATCCTCATATAAACATATATGGTAAAGTACTATTAAAAAAGAATGTTTTTAACAGAAGAAAATGTTCCTGAAGCAAAACTAAAATTTGCAACTGTAAAGGATAACAATGTTGTAACATTAAAACGTTGGCTTGCATGCCGTAATTTAAAAGTTACTGGAAAAAAAAATTAATAGACAGGTTAGTATACAGACTCTAGTAAAAGAGTAGCGGTAGATTCAAACTGTAGTAAAAGAAATTCAAAATAATTATAGATAATATAATAATGAATAATTATAGAATAATATAGATGGTAATGAAATAAATTTAGTTAAATATAATAAATTATTATGATTTAATAAGCGATTGAGGTTATATCTCATTCTATTCAATGATAATTATAACTATGAAAAATTTACTATTCATTTCATGTTTAGAGCAAACATATGAATATTTATTTATTTTTGGCACTGTTAAACCCACTCTCGAAGCATGTATCCATTTCTTACATCTAACCTCATCATATGAGGTTTTATAAATGGTATAAAAGTCACGTTTTCTTCCGGATATCGATTATCCGACGTACAATTCGCAAAACAGCAATGCTTTGTTGGCATTATACTAGCACAAAATAATTTTTTATATCAGATTAATATTTTTAAATAATAAATTAATATTACGTAAATAACAAGGTTTTACATGTGAATAATTTATGTTTGTCCCTACTACTAGTGCTGCCTCTCGTGACACGTTCGCTGTACTATTCTCAGGAAAAAGGCTCATTGTTTTTCGACGCCATATTCTGACAAGACAAGAAAACATGGATTCAATGAATGAGTTAACTGATACTTTACTCCACTTTATGAGCCCATTGAGTACTTTTGATTGGATGATTTTTTATTCAATTTACAAATGTTGCTAGATTTCGGGTATTGTGTTTCTGCCGCAAAAACTCTAATCCCTATTAAATAGAAAATTGGGTTTTCTCTCATTTCAACTAGATTGACTATTTAACCCAGATTGTTAATGAAGAGCCCGATCGTTTTCAGGTGAAGAAAAAATAAAGTGGAAGAGAGCCATCATTTGGAAATGAAAGGAGAGTGTCGCGTTTTAACTTCAAAATCGTCCCCTTCTCATCATTCAACGTAAATACAAATAAATCTGCCGGTGCAACATTTCAAATATTTAACATTAGCTTCTGGGAAAAAAACCCTTTCGTGTTACTTCTTCTCCATCATTATGTAGAAAACGGTGAACTTTCGAACAAAGAAAGAAATAATTATATACACCAAATATATGAATTCATGATAAAACTTCAGATGTCGCATACATTTTCAAATAAATATGCCACTAAAACTAATGAAGCGAATATGTAAAACTAGCGACTAGCCCCTTCTCCGCACGGGTGCAATGCTAAAACTAAGTATATTACAAACTGTCTTTACATACAACTTTTACAGCTTTTTTTGTCAGTAGACAATTCAAACAAGTTTACTTTAGAGAATAATCAATCTTGATAGAGCCACATATAATTGGCCCGGTACCGCCGCAACCGCTATGTCCCTGCATTTTATTTTCTAAAATATTCATACAAATTACATGCTATAAGATGGAAAAGATAGGATAAAGGATATATTAATGATGATTTTATAAACGCCATTTTTCCCCGCGGTCGGCGTTCTACTTTGAATATTTAAAAAACCTTTTTCATTGCACATCTGGAATATAAAACGAACCTACATACGAAATTTCAGCCTCCGAAAATGTACCGATATGGAGAAACAGTGATGAAAAAATAATTTTGTTTTATGGACGCACCGTTTTCCTGCGCGGCTGGAGCCCCAGTTGGTATATTTCAAAATACTTTCTTATTGCACATCTACGCTCTAAAAAGAACCTACTTACAACAATTCATACTTCAAAAATGTACCGATATGGACAAACAGTGATTAATAGGTAACTTTATTTTATGAACACGCCTTTTGTCCTCGCGACTCCCAGCTTCCCAGTTGGAATTGTGACAAATTAAAGAATTAGCTGTCTTAAACAAATTTATTTCCAACAATATTTCACTAATCACAAACTACTTTATTTACAACACTCAGCAACAAACGCTAAATTTATTTCCACTATTTGAATTTCTTGTTTAGCCGCTCGATTCACTTTCTGAACTGCCCTCTTGGGCCGGGAAGCCGGGCTTATCTATATAATGTAACGGTCCTGTCTAGAAATCTGTAGTCGGTTCGGTACTCGACTAGAGTTTTACCGGCGATTCCCGACTGCATTCTTTCGCGGTCATATCATGTGTTTGTTCTCTGAGTCGGCCGGCATATCGGTCAGGGGCGGCTTCAAATTCGTTACAGTATGTTTAAAAATGCTTTCTTCTTGCACATCTATAATTTCAGCTTCCTTCAGCATTTATAAGTATAGAAGATTTGAATAAATGCTGATGAAACTGAATGTGCGGAACATCGAAGGATGACTGGGAATTTGTCTGTTTTGTATATTCATTTTCACGAGAAGGGTTCGATCCTTTTCGAAGTTCAACATGACATACTTCGGAACTATCAAAAAACACATTTGGAGCACATCATCGTTTTGAAATGAACTTCCCGAAACACGTTCTCTAAATGAATATAATCTAACTGAAGCGATTAAATGCCAACGTGAATTGCTGCTTCACCACTACTTAAATCGTCTCAGATCATATTCATTTAGGTTTCAGAAATAAGTTCCAACATACATCGCGTATTTCTAACATACCTACAGCCTTTGGGGGAATCAAGTGTGCCAAGCAGTCGTATCACGTGAAGAGTCTTTTTTTTGTTCCGTCCACTTTATCTTTGGATACTTCTCATTTTCTGTCGTTGGTTTCACCACCTTTATCGTGCTTTGTACAATAACATCCTGTACATAGTATTTGGATAACAATAAATTCACGACGAACACCTTGAGATTAGATAAGCCTTATAAATTATATAGGTATGATTAATAAAAGGTCTCGTCAATCAGTAGAAATACTGTCATGTTTCGAATAGCAGTTGTTTTTGTTTACTTTTTGCTCATTACTAGTAAGTAAAATTTAAAGTACACCCCTTTTCATCAATCCTCATGAACCTTTTCAATTATTTTCAGGTCAAGATACGATCAACGATGACTGCATGAAACACGTGAAGGATGCATTGGATAGAGTGAATCATTCATTTGTTGTCCCTTCGAATTTTTCATTTCCTTCACCTTTTAACGAAATTAATGAACTACTCAAACGTTTGAATGCACTCTTGAAGAATATCGGAAATTTTGATGAGTTGAGGAAAAATCAGAAGTCGATAGAAACAAACATCCTTGATGCGAATCAAACGGATCAACTAAAAAGGGGGATTGAATTATTGAAATTGATTTATAACAATCTGGAAATTGTGAAAACCTCGAGAAACAAAGCGAATCAGACATGCCAAACTGCCAGAGATGAGTATAATATGATGATGTGAGTATATTAAACGATAGAAGGCATAATTAAGACCAATTTTTTTAAGGAACGAATTTGATGACATTGAAAAACAAGGATTTAGTGTTAGTGAAAGTATTTGTGAGTATAGTTACTTCATTTGTAAAAAATCTAACATAATGTTGTATTACTTGTTAACACAAAAAACTTGCTGTAGAATTTGATATCTGGAAGTTTTCATTATTTTTTTATAGAAATATCAAGAGAAATTGATGATATTGAATATTTGAAATGGGGATTTCCGTCAATAATTACTTTGATTAAATTGATATATCTGATTAGAAATTGAACAAAATATTTAATATTTTTCAGCTGACATCTCCACAGAATTTGACAAAATCAAAAAGAGAAGTCAATCAGTCAAAAGTGCCCTTCACGACCTCAAAGTTCCTGAGGTCACTGCAACAAAGTACCTGTGTGGTAAGCTGTTGGATGGAACCATTCAAGAAATTATCATTACTGCACGAAGAATCAAGAAACAATTGATACAGAAGAAGGGTATGTACGAGTAAGTGAGCTAATGATGAAAACATCTTAGGATCTTAAAGAACTCCTGACANTTGAAATAAATAGATTTAAACCGTATTTAATCTTAGAGATACCCTCACATTGTGTAGTAACTTGTTCATCATGAAAGCTCCATAATTCAGACTCAATTTACCGCTTATATAGGCTATGTAATACAGAAATATTGAACCAATACCGAATCTAAAAACCCATTTTTTCCGTAATCTGCACACAAAATACTGTTAAAATCACTAGTTGAATATCCTGCAATGTTTTCATCGCAGACCTGTGATTAGAGAAGTTGCTGAGGATATCAGTATTTCGATTGGCTAATTCTGTGCAATTTTTTCGGAATTATTGGACATAACGCGTGTGGCAGCGAAGTTCGTTCCAAAACTGCTGAATTTTGTTCAAAGAAATCGGCGCGTCGCATGATCATCGCTCAGAAATTGTCGAATGACGTCAACGCCGAACCAGATTTGCGTCAAAAATGGTAAATTGTCATGACGTCGAAACCAAAGTTCAATCGTCCCAATGGAAGAGCCCAGGAGAGTCGAGATCAAAAAATGCACGCCAAGTACGATGAAATGTCAAAGTTTTGCTCATTACTTTTTTCGATTACCGTGGCGTAGTGCAACAGAAGTTCTTGCTAATAAGGAGTATTATCTTGAAAGTATGCACCACAATACGAAAAAAAAAACATCCGGTGTTCTGGTGAAACAATTCATGGCTTTTGCAAACGATAATGCACCTGCTCACTCGTCATTGTTTGTTCGTGATTTTTTTGTCAAAAACAACACAGTAATCATGCCTATAAGCCACCGTATTCACCAGATTTGCTCCCCTGCGACTTTTCTGTTCTCAGGGTTGAACAGACCTATGAAGGGACGGCGCTTTTCGACGATTGAGGAGATAAAAACCGAATCGCTGAGAGAGTTCAAGGACATACCAATAAATGCTTTGAGGATTGTAAAAAACGCTGGCACAAATGTATTATACTTGAGGGAAACTACTTTGAAGGGGACAAACTGGAAATTTATGAATAAATGAATATTTTTTGAACAGAACTCGTAGTCCCTAAAACTGTCCAAGACAACAACAACCGGATGTTTGGAATAGGACCTTTGTCACTATTCAAAAATGTTTTCTTCATTTTTCAACTTCTAACCATCGAAAAGCCTATTGTCATGTATCGATCTCAACAATTTTACATATTTTTCAGAGACTTTACCTAGACTTTTCTGGTCTACGAAACCGATTATATCAAACGTGTTCCTTGAAACGCGGTATTATAGTGAGCTTAGTATGACCCACGTGCTTTTTGTCGCAGTCTTCAAAACTTTCTTCTAGATTTTTGTTTTCTTATGAATTTTATAAACTCATCGACCAAGTTTGAAGCATATTCATCCGTTACATTCAGTAATTTACTTTATACCTTTTATTTTTGACATCGAAAAAAAATTGTAAAGCTGTCAATTCATGAAAATTGTGTATTCAAACAACAACAACAAGTAAGAAAGGATGATCGAAACGAAAATGTTTGGGATTTACGACATATATTGTGATTATTGCGACAAGAAGTGTGTAGGTCAAACTGAGCGTTTCAAGAAACAAGTTTGACATATTCGGTATCATAGACCAGAGAAGTCTGGTGTCGCTCAACAAGCCATAGGAAACGGCCACAAAATAAATGAGAAACCCTTGAACTTTTTGATACTGTTAGAGGCTGTTAGTCACCTTAGATAGTTTGGTAATCGGAATATGTAGGAAAGTGTCCATAAACAACAGCAAAGGTCACATACAAATCACCCCTTGTTAACTATCTCACATAACTACAAGTTAAAATCCGGGGAATATATGTATAGTCAGTTATTAAACATTGATATTTCCATTACTATACAACAAACTGACACACTGGCTAATATTATGAACTCATTTAGATAATTACCTTTCTTGATGTACATAAAAGGATCTAACTCGGTTGTAAGATTCAGCTTTTGTAATATCCTGATGATGCTAACTCATTTATCGAAACGTGAGTCGAGTCTTTGTATTCTGGTGTGAGGAAATTGTTTTCATTAAATGGCATTCAGCATCTATACTTCTGTTAAGAGCACATCCAGCTGTAATGTATTTAAAATTAAGAAGATTTATCTTTGAAGAACACAATAAATCACATGCATGGATACATCGGTCGATCTGTAGTTATGAATAACATTTCGTTCATTATCGAGCAGATGGCCGGCTAACGAACGGCAAAAAGACTCAATATTTACAGTTTACTTCTAGCGTAGGACCTCGGAAAAGAGCATCAAATATCTGAAATTGCACCGATAATTACATTTCAGATTTCTTTTATTGTTCATAGTTTCTGGAGGAAAATTGGCCCATTCATGTGTATACAAATACATTTCTATTCAGAAACCAGTGCAGCCCGCATATAATCAGTCCATGTGCGTCATGGATAAAATCTCTATAGCGATTTCATTTTTGCTTTTCCATACTTCACCTATTCATCACCAGATGGCTGTTTAGGCATTGAAAATATTTCTTTAAATGTTATTAGTACAAGAAATGCAGCACAACAATTTTCTTGAGCTTGACATTTGAACTATTCGTTCGAATTAGATAAAGATACATTTGTTTTGACACTCATTTAAAAAATATCTGTCAACTGCTTGCAATTGGGCTCAATCTTTTGAATATTCATCCTACAAACTTACAAGTATTTGATTCAGAAAAAAAGGGTTTTGATATATCCGTCAGACTTGATTGGATGTAAAATACTCCACACAGAGCCATCTAAGAGATTCTTTATTCTCCAACAAACTATGCAGTCAAGTCATTAAGGAAACTCACCCAATTCCGGGAGACGAAGAAAATATTATAGAACGTCAACATATTTGGGCCAACCTAGTTTGAAGATTTCTTATTTTTCGAAAAATAAAGGTGTTATTGTTCAAAACTAGTATATACTTGAGCATGCATGATAAAAATAACAAATTCAAGACAAGAAAGACAATATTTTGTTGTCAGATAGATCAGGAGCCTATGAATTGTGTTGTGATTCATGCCCGATGATTACATAGGTCAAACTGGAAGAAAATTTGAAGGACGTCTCAAAGAAAAATAAATTCAACTTCGTTACAGAGGGACATGAGTTCAACCATGAAGTCAAAACTCGTTTATTTCTAGAAAAAAGGTTTGAATATTGACCTTCTGAAAAGTATGGAAACCAGAAACCAAAATAAAACAGTTTTATTGTTTTAGAAATCATGAAGCCATTGCTTCCTCAAAATAAACTAAGTGCAGGAATTTTCTTGAATGAAGCCAAATGTCGAACTCAGCTGATTATTTCTAGTGGTATAATTTAATATTATGTTGAAATTTTTTCTCAGTTAACTGTATCACATTCTCCGATTCGTAGACTTGAATAACTGCTATTTTAGACCAATCATTATGAATACTAACCTTTTGTTTTCAGAACAAGTTCTGTTGAAATTGAAAGACCTCAAAGAGAAGATTGGGATATTCAAAGATCCGAATGATGTACCGCAATCTATTTTGAAAGGTGGAGATGAAAATACCGTTAAGAAACTTCAACAAGAGGTGGTTTATTTGAAGAACAGAATAAATAAGGTAGGGGTTAATGATTTCAAATTCTGGGTTTATACAAGTTTGGTTGAACTCGAATAATTTGAATCACTCAAATGCCCATTTTTTGTAGACCACGTTTATTAGAAACTTATTCCGAAAATTGTTTTTATCTCAATTCAGACGACATTTTTGCTATGTGTCAATTTCATGTAATGTGAATTAATCAAAATAATAATTATGGTACTAAATAATGAAACAACCATTTCAAGCATCAATCAGATATATATTTTATATTTTCATAAGTTTGTTGTATCAGTAGGATGCTCAAAATCTTCATTATATAAAACAAAGTCGCAAAATTAAAGTACTGTACACCCACCACTCCATCATACTCCTCATAAAACGAGCTATATAATCACTGCAAGAAAATGAATTTCACAAATTGATTTTATGTGGATTCCATCGCATAGCTGATAATGAGATGGCTGACAAACTAGCAAAAGAAGCTATTACCAACCCGATAACAGCAATAGAACTTCAAGTGGCATATCAAGATCTGAAACCACTTTACAAAAATATTCTCTCCAACTATTGGCAATCCCAATAGAACGAATCATTCTCAAACTTATCCGCCATCAAGTCATCGGTTTTACCATGGAAGAACATACCTAAAAACAGACAAAAACAAGTAGGTAATCTTATCACGACTTCGACTGGGTCATACACGCGCTACACATGGACATCTTCTGACGGGCGAAGAGCAACCTAAATTTACAGTGTGTGATTCTGTTTAAAATCTGTTCTGTTTAAATATGTTTTTCCGTTAATCAGCTGTGGCCTCCATACGAACGACAACTCTCAGAAGTTGAGAAACTTGTGCGAGCAAAGGACTAACGAGGTCTTACCTTTTAACGTGTGATTTCCTAAGTGTTGAACATATATAACCGAATGCGTTTTATAGCATAATGACAAACTCAATTTCAATATTGCTCGTTCACTTAAAGAAGCTACAAAGCTATTGTTCGAGATATCATATCAAAAGAAGCTATTTCATTACCTCCTTGACCAGCTGTTGTCTCATCCCACATCATACACCAAGTTCTGTCAACGGTCGTGTCATAAATAGTACTATTTAATGTCCAGAGATTTAATGTCCAGAGATATTAGGAGAAAATTGTAATACTGACAACCTCTTAGGTTTTTCATAACAGATTAATATGTTATATGTAATATAGCACTATCATATCTGAATCACTGAACCTACGCTAAAACCCTACGTGGTTGAAGTGTCTTTGTTTGAATAAAAAAGTCGCAAAATCATGTTAGTTACATTTAAAAAGACTGGTTCGACTTTCATGATTTTTCATTTATTGGATTAATATCCGCCCAGAACAGCAGAATAACTATCAAAACAGGTGAAACATTGAGAAAAATTGACGACACGTTCACGTTGTAATGTTATAATAGAAGTAAAGTTAGCAATATAGATTGCGCATCAATCCACCACACATGAAGAAGACATCTCACAAGAGAAATGACGTGTTCAGTATTGCCAGGTCTACTATTTTTGCAGTAGGTCTTCTGTTTTTGCTCTCAAGCTAGTGTTCTACTGTTTGAGAGTTAAAATCTACTGATGACTCGGTTCAATTTCTATAATATTTATTGAATGTCAAGAAAAGTGGGGACTACAATTAATTACGATGAATCTGTGGAAAATAATTTGTATTGTTACGTGCTTTGTACGTGTTGACTACCTAGTCTTAAAACTACCTGTTTACCAATTAGTAATCTCTATCAATTAAGGTCGATAATCTGTATGAATTGCATTGTTAAGTAGTGTAGAGTACAGGCCCAACAGTGTATTAAAAAAATTATTAATTGATCAATGTCTGTACATTGAAGATATTTGAGAAGAACTAGGTATTATTGGAGGTTTTCTTTCAAGCAATAGAACGGAAAAAAATTATTCTTGGAATGTTTGTCTCTGCGTAGAAGGGCTTTATTTCGACTTACACTCGGAAACTCAAATTTTACTTAACATTTCAAAACAAATTTCCAGGTAGATGAAACAATTCAATAAACCCATTCTCTGTTGTAGTTCAAACAGATGAAAGAACCTATTTTGAAATGGGAGAAAGTTATTTCGAATTTGGAGCGCCGGTTGAAAGAGGATATTCAGAGGGCCAAAGCAGTCAAGAATATATTGCTTCAGAGAGACAAAAGTAAGCAGTCATACGAAGAAATAGGAAAAATTGTAAAGGGTTTATGTGAACGAGGAGTATGTTCCATCAAAGGTCCCGTTGATGTGGAACAATAGAACGAATGAACCAAAACTGTTGGCGCTTCACCATGAAAAATACGATGAAATTTCAATTATTTTCAGATCCACTAGGTTGTATTATATTTGATAATGTTTGGATATACATCTTTTTGATATTTTATAACTATGACAAAAAATCATATATGTACATTAATTTCTTGAACATCACCGACCTCATTTTAGAACAAAGATCGCAATCCAATTTTTTAAAAGAAGGTATGTAACAATATGCTGTATGACCGTTTGTGTGTCATGGTTAACATTTTTTAGATATATAGACAGATAGATTTTATTTAAACAACAATTGAAACAGGTTTACAATCGATTATATGTATACAGCCGATGTCATGGTACATAAAATATATGATTTTAAAATACACAGAGTAAATAAAACCTAAAATTACGTACAAGAGAAACATCAATAAAAACAGGTATATATGGCACATTTTTTTAAAACTTATTTCTAATTCATCACAGCAAAAAAAATCCAGACTTTGATGGCTTACGACTAGATCATTCACTTGCCTAAGGCAGCGATTGAGTTGAGACTCTGATCGGGTGCCTACATAGAAAACCCTATTGCGATTTTTCAGACTAGCACCAGAAACATGAAGATTGATCACACTGAGGAGTTCAGGTACATTTATTATCTGATTAAATATGTTGAATATAAATAGTACATCATTCAAGCTTTGACGATCTGACAGGGTTGGCATCTCAAAATGTTCTAGTTGTGTCCTGTAGAGATCATAGAGGGAGACTCTTTATTTTTTTTGAAGTAGGTGTACCTGAGAAAATTCTTCTGTATTTTTTCTATCATCTCTGAATGAAATGCTTTTTGCGGATTCCAAATTGTTGAAGCGGATTCGGGCTTTGATCTGACAAAGGCATTGAATAGAATAAGTGTTACCTCATAATTCATCTGAGCATAAGATATGCTTCTTTTGTTCATTCTGTTTCTCTGACTGACAATTAAAACATATCCTGTACATTTATTTGAGTCACTACTTCATGTTTACCATTAATCAAATAGTATGGATGCGAGGAGGCAAGTAAATAAGCAAAGATGGCCACTAACACCTGAGGCCTTCGATGAGTTGCGCCACCACTTACCCGAGCAACTAGTGCAAAACCGGACCGGCAACTGCTTCTCACGATATCTAAACCAGGAGGAAGATACTCCCGGTGAAATTAAGTTCCTGCTTTTGAGCCTTTTTCCAAGAAACTCAGCAGCATCGGGTTTAGGTACAGCATCATCTTCGTCAGAATTAGTAATCTCTTCCAAGGTAGCGGGGACCATGGACACTGGTATTTCGGTCCCATGAGGGATTGGACGAGAAGCTGTTTGAAAATTGGGTTATGAAATTAACTGCTTCCGTTTTGAAATATACCTTTTCACATTACACGAACAGAAGTAACAATCATCACTATGATTCATTTGCTTGTGCCATACCATAGGAATCGCATATCGGAAAGCTGTTTTCTTGCCCTTGTCAACTACGAACTGCCTTATTGAGTACCGGTCCCGAGTAGAGGACTGGATCCTCCGAGAGAAGGAAATATTAAGACCAGATAGTTGTTGGTTCACAGATGGATCAAAAACACCTTCCGGTTCTGGTGCAGGTGTTTCCAGTCGCAGACCCAGGACAGAGATATCAACCTGTCTAGGAACCTATGCGACTGTATTTCAATCGGAAATTTACGCTATTAACCCTACGGAGGTGGCGCCAAGTCTGACAGACCCGAAGTATATTCACTCGCTCGGTATTTCTCGGGGGATTATCCGAAAAAACTGTCATTCCCACTACCTTTCTATTTAGGTTAGTAGTAACCGTGTAACAAGCGTAGACGGAGTATTATTTTATTATTCGTGAGATATAAGCTTAAAAGTTTGAGAGACCCGACGCCACCTCTGGTGTTGCTTAGTTGTGAAGGTGTTAATATTGTGTTTTCTTATTCATTAGGTAAGTTATCGAGATTTATAGTGAATAGTTTTTTTATGAATGGTATGATTGTTTCCAGGAATGGATTATATGGAAAGGAGCAGGAGAGATTACGTCAAATGTGGGAAGAAGTTGATGAGATTACAGAGGTACCTGATGATGAGGAAGCTGAATCAGCTTCAGAAATTGATACTATATAAACAAGAAGTACAGATAGTGAATCAGAACAAGAGTGTGAAGATATAGTTGAAGCAGAGGAAGTACCTCCTCCAGAAAAAAATTCCAAGATATCCATGTTTTATAGGGAAAGATAATAAGACAAAATGGAGGAAACATTGTATAAAAAAAAACGTCTAGGACTAGACAAGAAAATATTATTGTTCGCCTTCCTGGAGTGAAAAATTATGTAAAGAATGCTGGGTCAGAACTGGAATGCTGGTCATTATTTTTTTCTGATGAAATTCTACAGATAATTGTTGCAAATACCAATCTATATATTTATATATATAGTGTGGCAGAAAATTATACGAGGGAAAGATCTGCCAGACCAACTGATTTGATTGAAATAAAAGCGCTGTTTGGACTATTATATCACGCTGGTACTCTTAAAAGTTGCCGTTTGAATACCAAAAATATTTGGGATAGACAAGGAATGGGAGTTGAAAGATTTTGGGTAACAATGTCGGAACAGTGCTTCCGATTTATACTAAAGTATAAGTTTGTGATTTGATGATGTTTCTTCCAGAAATGAAACAAGAGAATGTGACAAATTGGCACCAATTAGAACTGTTTTTGACCCTTTCGTGGAGAATTGTAAAAAAGCCTATACCTTAGGAGTAAATACAACTATATATGAAAAACTTGAAGGCTTTCGAGGTCGGTGTGGATTCAAACAGTATATTCCAAGTAAGCCAAATAAATATGGAATTAAAATTTTTGTTCTGGTTGATGCTGCTACAACATACTGTAATAATTTGGAGGTTTATGTTGGACAACAACCGGAGGGTCCCTGTAATCGAAAAACTGATCCATATAGCGTTGTTTTACGGCTCATAAAGCCAATTTCTGGAACTAATAGGAACGTGACCTGGGACAACTGGTTTTCTAGTATTGAGTTGATCAAACATTTACTAATAAACCATAAAATAACTTTTGTTGGAACCATTAAAAAAAAGTGCCACCAGAATTCATAAACACGAGACAGAGACCAGTATATTCTACCGTATTTGGTTTTCAAGAAGATATGACACTAGTGTCATATGTCCCCAAGAAATATAAAACGGTTCTATTGGTGTCAAGCTTACACCACGACGACATAATCGACTTATCAACAGGAGAAAAATCAAAGCCTGTAATAATAACATATTATAATTCAACAAAAGGATATGTAGATAACTTAGACAAGTTATGTGCTACATATAACGTGGCCAGAAACACAAGAAGATGGCCAATGGTTGTTTTTTATGCCTTGCTAAATATACCAGGTATAAATTCACAAGTTATTTATGCTCCGAATAACAAAAAGTATTCAACTATTCGTAGAAAATATTTGATAAACCTTGCTAAAGGATTGACCCAAATGTATATACAGCGACGTTCTTTGGAGGTGAATATACCAAAAAAGTGAGGGAACGAAGGCAAGATTATGTTGGCTCTTCTACTGCAACCAAGCCGCCCCAAGAATATGTTCCAGAAGTAGGCAACAGATTTTTTTTTGCAAAAAAGACTCTAAAACAAGATTTTCGTGTGAAAAGTGTGGAAAATTTATTTGTATATTCCACCTCAAAGCTTGATGTTCTGAATGTACCAATTCAATCATAAACTTGTAGAATGACCATTTTGGTTTATTGAGTACACAGTTATACCAAAATAGTAGAGATTTTTATAATTTTTTATTTGTTGTTGAATTATGTGCGGAGAGATTGGGAGAATCCAACCTCATACACAAGTCAATAAAAATATTCTCCGACAGTCAAGCGGCGTTGAAAGCTCTTGCCTTCTACCGAGCAACCAACATCTAAATTGGTAGCAAAGTGCCAAAAACGACTCTCTTCGATAGGAAGACTTAACAGATTGTCTTTGGTCTGTATTTCTGGCCATACTGGCCTGGAAGGCAATGAGACTGCTGATTACCTTGCAAAGGAGGGTGCTGCAACCAGCTTTATCGGACCAGAACCTGTCGTTGGATCGTTTCAAGCTTTGTCAAACAAAGATTGAACCCCTGGATGACAAGAAGATTTATGGACTTCTGGCAGAATCTTCCAGGATTGGCTCACTCCAAGGCGTTTATTCACCCTTCGAAGCTTGATACCAAACAGTTATTGGAATACAGTAGGAATGAACTACGATGTCTAACAGACCTTTTTACAGGTCACTGTCATTTGAATCATCATATGCAGAGACTCGGACTGTCGGAAGACAGTGTCTGTCTTCTCTGTTTGGAAAATGATGAAACAACAGAGCACATACCTTGTACCTGCCCCGCTGGGGACCGAATCAGGTTTTTAGAGTTCGGCAGAGCCGTACTCTTACCATACAAACTAATCGGCTTTGTTAAGAAGCTGGGTTTATTTGGTCAAGTGTGAATAGGTGTGAGCCACAATAAAACCTTGCGGATTGCGGTGGAGGGTGGAATAGATCCATTCACTTTGGACCTAACCTAACCTCACTAATTAAATTTGTTGAACATGTTTTATATATTTTTTTCCACAATATAGATTTTTTTCAAGTACTTCCAATATTTAATTAATTTGTTTGACGGAAAACGCATTATTCGGGTACGAACGCATCGAAAATTTGAACTTTACCGCGCCACCACTACGGCCGCCACCCTTATATGTCACGTCACATTTCGTTTGATAAGCTTTGTTTCGACTTACATCTAGCTGAACCTAACCTCAATCGAAACGACTAAACTTCAGTAATAAAGTACTAAGGTGAAAAAACTTGAAATTCCAATATAAGTAATAGAAGACGTAAAACAAAAATTCATAAATTGAGTTTGTTATTTGGATATAGGTAGGTATTTTTGAGTACATTACTTACATTTATTGATAGAATACCTACCTACTTTCTACTTTTATCTGTTAATATCAAAATTAAATTATAACTTTTGTTTGAAGGTGATTGACAATGTTTCATGATGAATTTCACTAGTTCGGACTTCCATTGTCTACTATATAAAATGATTTGAAATCCCTGAAACAACTAAAAAAGAAGAATTAAAAATGAATAGGTGAAAATAACAATTATATTAAGCAACAATAAACCTGAAATGAAATGATAGTGAAATAACCTACAAGTAAAAATATAATAATTGAATAAATAAAAATTAAAGGAATGAAAAAAGANTTTGAAAGTGGTTGACAATGTTTCATGGTGAATTTTACTAGTTCGGACTTACATTGTCTAATATGATATAATATCATTTGAAATT